GTGAGCAAAAAGTATATGTAATAAATGAAGAGTGAAGAAAAAACAAATGGAAAGAAAGTGACTGATGTCCCATTAATTGCGATTTAAAACTTTATGATGTTCCCGCTTTTGTATCGATGAGGAAATCATTAGTCTTTTTTTTCGAATAATATCTCCAGATTATTATTTTTACGGGATCATCATACTTATGTTTCTTTACATATTTTTTAATACCATTTAGGATGCTGATTTTTTTCTGGGACGAAAATAATTAGATTTATGTTACATCGAAATATTATTCATATTATAAAAGTCCAGGAACTTCGAAAGTTCCTTGTTTCATATCTGGCATGACTTTTATTGTAGTTAAGGGTTGGCTAAAATTCACTCGTAATTTTTTTTTTTTTTTTTCAATAAAAAAATTATAAAACTTCTTAAATATTAAAATTTTCCTTGATAATATCCGGAAAAGATACTGTAAAGCATTTTAAGATGTTTCTTGGGTTAATAAATGGATGATGAACCTGTATGTATGATTGAAAACTGTAAAGCATTTAAAAAACGTATGAAATTGTTTCGAATATTAAAGTCAAAATAACATGTATACACCAAAAAATTTTTTTATTTGAAAGATTATTTGTGCGTGTAATATATATCTTTACAAACATCCAAACCAGGGTACAAAATTAAATGTACTTACTAGGTGGAGCTCTTCTTAAAAAAATGCTTATGGTGAAAAAAAAAACATACACAAGAATTTGTTTGTGTGTTAAATATGTAAAAAAAACTGCATGTTTTGTGTAGTATAATACACTTTTAGCCTGAACAAATTTTTTTCTATTATTAAAGCTATTTTAAGTTTATCATTGAACGTAACGTACCTATTGGATAAACAATATCTTTTTTCCATGAATATTTTGTCTAAGGTCATCTAAAATAGTAGTAGGCACCAATCCAAGTACCAATAAAAAATATTCATTAATCCGAAACTCATTTAGTCTTCATAACGATTCGCGAACTGTATAGGAAATCATTTGTACAAGGATGTTACTACCAATCCTATCCTTGAGACGAGTTTTTCTCCGTGTTACTCATTAAATTTCTGCCTCTTGATAAGAAAGTGTGAAAACTTCGTAAAAGTGTGTGAATCAAAAGTTAGCCCATTAGTAGAATATACTTTTTTGTTCCAGCACGTGATACATGTCTGGAATAATTTGCACTTAATGCAATTATTGTGTAATAAACTGTATTATTCATATAAGTGACTGATGGCAGTTTTTTTGTTCGTTAATTGTAAAGTTCAAAAGTTTTGTGCATCACTGTTTTCAACCGATCTACTCCCGAGGGACTAACCACTTCCAATACTCCCTGAACGTTCTTGAAAAATTATCGTGATTCTCTTTCATTTTTTTAAAATACTCTTGATTGAATGTGTATGAAATAATTTAAGGATACTTGCAGACTATCTTATAATTATTAAATCTAAAAGTATTCGCATTCATACAGTACACTTTGAGACCTCCGAGAATAGAGACATAGATCAGTAGGATCATAAATACGAGCATAAATTTAATGTTTTTTTAAGTAAATCTTGGAGTATAATTATCTTAGCCTTACATGATTTTGGTCTTTTACAGCGTGTATCGTTACAATTTTTTAAATTTTAAATTACAAAGCGTTTAATTGACACCTCGTACAGAAAGTTGGGATGATTTTGGATGACTTTTAAACCGCGAAATCGTTATGGACAGTAAGTCCTGGAAACATGCTTCTAGGCTTGTCCGACTTAGTTGCATCTTTGATCATCCTGAAAACTATTGCCAATCAATTTTGCCATACAAAAATACAAGCCATTACGTAATCACTCATGCTACGTGAGCCCTCCAAAAATCTAAAACAATGAAGAATAGTCCGTGAATAGATAAGAAAATACGAAATCGCTCTAGCCAAGCATCACAATAATGATATATCGATCCATCCTCAACATTACAACACAATGCAACAGTACTAAAAAACATTCGGACATCAGTTATAATTGTTGGTATATAAAATATAGCGTGTATAATATTACAAAATAATTTTTTTCCTACACATTTATTGATACAAACAGTCAGTATCAATCATATAGTGAGTTTTAAAGATGATGGTTAATCGATAGTTGTGAAATTCATTCATTTACTTCGTTTCTTCAAAATAGACACTGAAGAGTACGTGCTACATGTGTACGTAATTAATCAAAATCTTGACCTTCCTCTGAACTAACTACCATCACCCGCATGCATGCGCAGTCGCGAAAAAAATGGCACGTGCGAGCATACGTATATTATTTGCGATGCAATCGCTTGGTTGATTCTACCTAATGAACAATATCATAAATTTATACATACTGAAGTAATATATCGAGCATACAGTGCGCACGGACGTTTGTAAAGGAACTCACTGTTCCGAATGATCCATCGTATGAAACAAAAAATGTTGCTTATAACAAAATAGAATTTAATATTTTCTTTGGTAAATTTAATTAAAATAACTTCGTACTTAGTTTGTTGTTAAATAATTTTTGCAAAGAATACTTACCAATCCTGTAAATTTGTTGATGCATATAACATTTTTTTAAAGTCACTATTAATACAGCTTCAATATTATGGAATAGAAATAAAATAACAAAACGTACTTTATAAAAATTTTAAATCTAAATATCATAATAACAGACGTAAAAGATGTAAAGAAAAAAAAAAAAATTTGGCCATGACATGAGCTGATGGGTCATTAAATAAACTTTTCTTGTGACTCGTTAAAAAGTTGTAATAGTTAGATTTAGTCATAACTATAAGATACGAAGCTCTGGCGCTAAAGTGGCGATCTATAGCCGAAGATAGGATTGCGTAATCCTCTTTGTTGAGCTAACGTAACAGAGACTGGCTTTTTTCCAGAAGCTATGTTTTTTTTCGTTAACTGGATCGAGTTTTAATTTCAGACAAAAGATTTCTTAATACACCAGTTGGGCTCGCAAATCCATGTTTATGCATTTTATGCGCTTATATTACTGCTCAAAAAAATTACGTAACTTTAATCCTCATTTAGATCATTCTTTTGAGTTATGGCAAAAAAAAATAATACACAGTGGTCGTGATAATTTATTTACAACATGATTATACGTACTTAAAAAAAAATTTAATACAAGTTGATTCGAAAAAGACTACAAGTAGGAATGCCTTTTAGATTACTCTAGCCTTGGATTTTAAAATTTCAGAAATGGTACTAAAGAAGTTCCATTAAAATTTTTTTTATTTATTCTGTAGATTTCCATACTTTAATACTGATAAAATGATTGGAAATAGAATTTAAACTTACCTGAATTTTTAAAGTATCGTTTTTTTTAATCATCGCACAAGTGGTTACACTCTATTCTTCATACATGAATTTATTTCTTCATTCTTAATATTCTCTTCTTTATTTTCAGTAAGCAGTTGGTGTATGATTACGTATGTGCTTTTAATTATTTTATATCAGTATTCGCGATTAATCAAAAGTTTCGTAGTCGCTTCAACTTACGTGTATTTGATTTTAATTAAAGAAGGATTTTGAGAAGCATTATTCATTTACAATTACAGTAATTTACAGTAATACACATGACTCATTTCCTATTTTCATGTCAACAATAAAAAATCCCTTCAACCATGTATTTTTCACGTAACAGATCAAACCTTTATTTTTTACTAATTGCGGATGAATCGAATGCACTTTTGCCGTCATAATTGCCATTCGTTAGACAAAAACTATTAACGACAAATTAAACTATTTATGCCATGCAACTTATATGCACCAGGTACCATTAAAGTTCGCAACAGTCATTAACTGTAGACACAATGATAAATGTATCACGTATATTCGAGGAATCATTAAAAAAAAAAAAAAAATGGGTCAATCAAAAAGATACCAAATACAAGTTGCATATAATAAAAGAGTCTTCTTAAAACTAGTGAATTTAGTTAATTTCGTAATGAATTTTGTCTTTACTACAACTGTAATAAAAATTAACTAATTCTTCTTTGAATCTTACAAAAAAAAGGAACACTTGGGGTGTGTAATGTATGAATACAACTCGAAAAATTCATGGTAAAAAAGTAACAGTAACAGTAACAGTAGAAATTAGAAATTGTCATTATTTAACAAGTTTTAAAGAAAGTCAAATCATAATCAATACTTTTTACGCCTTTAAATTGTTTTCTACTTTAACGTGGAATTAAAATGCACATTCACGTGCATTGAAAAAGCTAACTATTTAGGGAGCTCAAAATGTTGTCTCCTCTTAAGATTGTGCCCCGTGGAGATGGAGCAGTGGACAAGCATATTTTTAAACTTGCTAAATATGCCCATGAGATACACTTGCGCAGGTACGTACAAAGAAGCAAAACAGTATACGAAGTAAGAATTTAAATTTCCTCTGTACTGGTTGTTCCAAAACCGGCATGCATTAAAAATCATACGAATAATAAACTCTTTGCGCATTGAGGTGCACTTGAGGCTTCAAAAAAATTCCACCTGAGTTGGGTTTCACTTGCATAAACACATTTTTGCAATACCAATACACTAACGTAAAAAGGGCTGTCCGAAAAATGTTCAAATTTTCTCAATTCAATTCGTAAGCTGTTGGCGTGTGCAAGTATATCGAATTTAACATTTTTACAAATTCGCTGAATATTTAGGACAGTATAATGTAATTTCAATAAACTGAGGAACACTCAAATATTTCTGTATGAAATTTACTTATCTTAGTATCTTTCGTTGCGATCAAAATGTATCAAATTTCAAGTAATCAGTTAAATCCCTAGTAAGTGTTGTGGATACTAAAATTTGCATCATTTACATGTTTTATATCTCCATTCACGATACGTTAATATATTCAATGAGCTAATGATTGAGGTTTAAAAAAATATCGCGTGCACGTGTAGGAAAAAAAAGAAGCGTTGGATAGCTTTCGAGTAGAGTAAATGATGTGTACGTTGTCTCTGTTGCAGTCGCAGTCGTGTTGACCTTCTTTGTTTGTTGGCTGCCATTTCACGTGCAGCGATTGGTTGCTACGCTTGAGAAAGAACAACAACAGCAATCACAGGAGAGTAATGAAAGAATGGCACTCGTTTACGTGATCTCTACCTATGTATCGGGAATACTCTACTACTTCTCAACGACAATCAATCCGATTCTCTACAATATTATGTCCCACAAGTTTCGAGAAGCTTTTATGGTGAGTTATTCAGTCAAGAGGATGAAACGAGGTGCACTCACTCTTTGCTGAATTTACAAGACTATTGTGTAAGAAATCCGCTCTGCGTATATGAACTATAGAATATACTTTTGTTTTACAATTTTTACAAACACGAGATAGCTCTTTCGCAAAACTTTTTTTTTTTTTTAATCGGCTTGGTAACTAACAAACAATATGAATTTTTTACAGCATTGCTAGAATGAAATGTAATTGAACGTTAATATATAATTCTAACGATGCATTTTTAACTTTTATAGTAAAAAAATTAAAGACTGTTACTTTTTTACTTGCAGTTAGGGAAACCCGAAGTGTTTTTTATTTTTTTTTTTTATTTGAAATTTAAAAACTTACAGTTGGGAACTGAAAAAATATTAGGTAGCAAACTTTTTACTTAGGATTACGTAAAGTTTTTCTGTGTTCTATATTTGATAAGATTTCATGCTCATCTAAGAGAAAAATTCTGCCCATCTCTCTTTAACGATCATCTGCTCTTTTTTTTAATCACTTTTTTACGTCAAATCCTCATTGGACAAGCTGAACCTTAGTCCTTTTGTAAAAGTTTCTCGTTGTAATTGCAATAATGATTTTTCCGCACTCGGGTGGTTTTGGGAGGCTGGTACTTCCTCGGGCGAAAAAACAGTTTTCCGCCCTCGGGTGGTTTTGGGAGGCTGGTACTTCCTCGGGCGAAAAAGCAGTTTTCCGGAACTCGTTCAAAAAGTCTCCTTTACGAACCTCGTTACGTCCCTCGCCTTCGGCTCGGGCCGCAAACCTCTCGGTTCGCAAACAGAGACTTTTCAAACTCGTAGGAAAACTACTATT